CTAACTCATCACTCTAACCTCACATTCTATATGCTGATGTGTTTTCAGCTAAAACTCTTCAAATTAATGCATCCATTTTGCATTCTTATCTATTTAATGGAATATTAGTCATGGAATTGAAAATACAGAGAGTAAGAAAGACATTTGAAACATGTTGGGATGAATGAAGTAATAAAAAATTACTGTAATCACCCCAGGGTGAACAAATTAATATCATCTCTTAATCTTTATGTGGCTTCATCTATTTTTCCTGCTTTTACTACACATTAAAAAATGAGACAAGTTCTACCTTTGTTTTGCAAATTGCATTATCTTGAGTGTTGTTGAGGGTTTTTTAAAAACTAATTTATGATACACTCTGAATAATTTTCTGTGTGCATCCAAGGGAGTAATCAATACAATTTCCTTTAAAATTGAGAACTGTGTTCAGCAACTCCCACAGTTCTATGATTTCCAATTTTATCTCTGAATGCAAGTAAGAAGCAAAATCTTATAGCAAGACACTCTGTGTAGAATAATGAATAACTTGCTAGAGAGCACTGTTTGTGATGATGATTCTGTTTCCCATAGTGTTCCCGAGAAACAGCCATGGTAATCATCCCCACCTGTCCTGTTAAAATCACTTATCTGATGTATTCTTGGGGAGTACTGTACGGTGAGATCACTTGTGGTTAAGCCACTCTTTTGCAAAAGCAGCCACTGGAAGGGACTGTAGGGCACACTACTTCCAAAGGAACCTTCACACAATTAAGACCCTCTGGTTAATTCTGGTGCCAGTATGACACATGCTAGTTCTTTAGGTTCATTCCAAGCTTGTTGAGGAGAGTGTGGGAGACATGGCTTCTGACTTGATCTATAGACTTTGAGTTGAGTCAGTCTACTTCCTGGCCCTCAGTAACCTTGATAATGAAACATCTGGTGTATTTTACCTCTTAGTGAAACATTCCATGACTCTGAATTTTATTCAGGTCATAAATATTTATATACATTCATTTATTTGAAATTTTGTATCTTTAGACACGCCTAGACATTTTCATTATGTCTCATCTTAGACATTTCATAGCTGCATAGTATTTTACTTACATCTATGTACTATAGTTTATTCAATGAATCTCCTGTTTTGAACACATAGAAAGTTATGATTTTGCAATTATAAATAATATTCTAATAAAATGTTTTCCACTTTTTATTACAAGTATACATCAAGTCCAAAAGGATTAAAGATTTAAATGTAAAAATGGAAACTATATAGATATTAGAATATAATAGCAATAGTTTTTTTTTTTTTTTTTTTTGAGATAGGGTCTCATAAGTTGCCTAGACTGGATGCAAACTTTCTATTCTTCTGTCTCAGTCTCCTACCCACTGTGATTAAAAGCATACCCTACTACACCCTGTAGTGCATTTGTCTTTAACCTGGTTATCTAGCAGATCTTAATGATTCTTGTCAGCAAGTAACTTACGGGACATTTAGGTTTTGAAAGAGACTTCATCATAGATCATCAGTGAGTTAGATATTAGATGCCTCTTCTTATTAATGCAGTAGAGTGGTTTGGAGTACCTTCTAGTCAGTTGAAACAGGCAGTCCCCTGGCATTCTGTCACTAAAGCACATGTGTCATCATGTGCTGCGGTAGTTACCTGTCTGTATGCTAGCCCTGGTAAGTCAGTGAATGCGACATTGAAGTGTTCATCTTCTTTTCAGGTACATGGCTGAGAAACTTTGAAAATGGTTTGTGCTTTCAAACTCATGCAGCATTTAAATCTCAAAGTCATTTGCTAGTGGTTTTGAAGGGTGGACATTTAATCTAACTGTAATGAGTAGAGGAGGGGCCTTTGGGAAATGATTAAGATTATATAATGTCTTTTGGGTTAAGCTCCTACAATTGGATTCTGGTGGCTTTAAGAGGAAGCGAGACCACACCATATACATGAATCATTCCCATCTCTTGGCACATGACACTCTGTGCTGCTTTGGAATTCTCCCAGCAAGAAAGCCATTCATCACCAGATGAGACCCTTAGACCTTGCTCTTCCAGAACCATAAGCCAAAAATAAACCTCATTTCTTATGAAGTAACCTGCCTCAGGCATTTTATTAGAGTAATTAAAAACAGATTAGTAGAACACTCCTTTCCACTTTCTGTTTTTTTTTTTTTTTAATAGATCTACGCCAACAACCAGAAGCCTGCCTTTTAACTAGGTCTCAGGAACTTCAACAAAAATGGACCCATAAGCCATATTTTACCATTAGGCTTTGAGTTCTCTGAGAGAGAGAGACTCATGCTGTTTCACGCCTTGTTTTGTAACTATTGTTCCAACAAACCCTTTTAAAAGCCAAGAATATAATAAGTAAGTTGACTATTGA